TTAAAATCCCCTCGCTTTTGTGGAAAAAATTAGCAAAATTATTTTTAGTCCCGTATTTGGCTGTCATTATTATGGTCACTATACGCATATTAGACGCATAGAACGTATTCAAAAAATGTCCATAAAATCGAACGGAGTGTTCCTTGAACTTTAGTAAACCTTTACCATCTTACGGATCGCTTTGTCAGCTATTAAACTTAAAGCCTCTGCATAGTAGGTTTGCTTTTCCTGCATGTAATTTTATAGTTAACCTTCTAAATAATTCAGTTAACTGTCCTAACCTTTTGCAAATATTGCCTTTCAATGTTTCTATTCGCAATTTACGTCGGGTCTCAATATTTTATTTAAGAATTCCAAAATACAACTATACCAAATTTGCTCCTTTGCATAGAGCTCTACCTGGGCTAAATGAGGTTCCTGATTTGGTAATCTCCCAGCCTTTTAGAACTGTGCGTAGCCTATTATTTCATTATTTTTAAATACCAACTAGGTAATTTTGTCCTATAGTCAGTAAGGGTTTTTGTTCATTTGGCTAAATTAATAATAAATAAATAAATAAATAAATAAATACGTCTTGTTTCCCTCTTCAGTTTCCTAAAGCACGTCGGCGGGGGCTCATCCGGTGCTTCATTTTGCTTTTTCATTTTCCAGCTCGTGTTTCTTATTAATACCCTTTATTAATTTGAGCTAGATTAGCCTACTAAAAGATTTTCTAAATAAAAATTTTATCAATACAAATTATGAATTTTAGCCTGATTAGACCTTAAACACGTTTTTTTTTTAATCTCGACTCCATGTCGAGAACATTATTTTATGGTTATCATATCAATTCAGATATTCATTCGTATACTTACATTGTTTTGATAGTTTCTGAAATGCCAGCGAAAACATCACGTGACAGGAACCTCAACTTCGGCGCATTCGAAATGTAGCTAAAAGACATAAAGTATTTAAATTTATGAAAATATTTCTCTTACATCTCTTTCTATATTTACATACGATACAGATATACAAAATTTCAGGCTAAACTTGTTCTTCTTATATGGCACTGTGTCTGCACTACATAGACCATCAACAAGATTTATACAGAAATTTTGTTCTAAAATTCAAAGTTAAGGTATTTTACCACATGCTCCTAAGATAAAATGCCTTGAACATAATATTAGTAAATTTAAAATAATTTATATAAATAGATAATTATTTGTAATTCCATAGCATTACTACAATCTAAGCAGATGTACAAAATAATTCCCCACAAATTCTCATACAGCGATATTGTAGCCGGTTAGCTTCCCGTCAATTATAGTTTTTATTTTGCGCTTAAAAATCAATTTTTCACACTATGAGCATTTTAATTTATTGTTATTGTGCCGATTAAAAGCAGAAATAACAAGTAAGAAAGTCTAAGTTCGGGCGGAGCCGAACATTAAATACCCGGCGCAAGTATTAAATATATGTTTTTTCACCTTTCCGAAACCTTCCGCTAGATGGTAAGCCGGGGTGTATCAATTTTGAGTAAATTAGCGTCCTTCAATTTCGAAATATTGAAGTTTCAAGCATTTCTGAAATTTACCGTTATATGAGAAGCGGCCGTTATTTTAGTCCGATTTCAATAATTTTCAACG